GGGAGTAAGAGATGAACTTTAGCCTCCGGTCCGAAACTTACTTGACCTAGTGCGCTCATTCGGGATCTTTACTCTTCCCTGGTGCCTTACAAGGGTGGAACAGGCGTCTGTGCTAGTATTGTAGTGGTTAGGCGCTTCGCTGTCGCGCGAAGGAGACCCGAGTTCGATTTCCTAAATGGATTAGCGGTGGAGAAAGAAAATAGAATGAGGGAGGGGGAATTATTAAGATCAAGGATCTCGATCGTTATGCTAGGCAGGATAATGTATCTCTCTCTGCCCGGGTTGGTGTAAGTACTTTAATATTCTTTTAGCAAAAAACAAACAAAACAAAAAACAACAAAAAACACGCGGTTCAGCTTCAGGGAAATTCATTTGGGCTTTAATGAGCTGGGACCAGGACATAGTGGGGTGGGGGTTTTGTTCTTCGAGTTATGGTAGAATTTAATCTTTTTATGTTTTTAAAATTTATTTATTTATTTATTTATTTATTTATTCAATTATTTATTCAATTATTTATTTATTATTCATTCATATATTTATTCTTTCATTTATTCAATTTTTGTGTTGGAATTTATTCATGTATTTATTCCATTTTTGTCTTGGAATGCCCAATAACAAGAAAAATAATAGGGTAGGGTATTAGCTGATGATTTGTAAGGAGGGTTTTAGCAAGTAGACGTAGAAATAGTGTTCCTTGTCGTCCGAGTTTCGGCATTTAGATCGATGAAAAAAACATTTATAAAAATAAAAAAAGATAAGAAACACAGTATAGGAAGAAGATTATCTGTGGCCTTTCGTGTAGTTCAAAGAGGGTTGTGGTGATGACCTTGGGAACTGTGCAGGGTATGGGTGATGACGAGGGAACTGCTTGATTATTTATAGACGTCACGTGACGCTCTTATATAGAGGGATGATTGTCGCGGTTTACTAAGGCCGTTATTTATTTTTAGCTTGTATGATTTAAAAAAAAAAGATTTCGTTATTAGAAGTGTTTAAAGTTTTGTTAGAATTCTTCATTGCTTTATTGCTCCTTGACTTTATATACATATAATATATTATTATATTATATAATAATATAAATGCCCTACATTCATATTATATTTTTGTTTCATATTATTTTTTGGTAAATACTTTTTATATTTTTGTTTCAACATTGTTAATAATGGAAATACGTTTTAACAAAATCAAACCCAGTTTTAGAAATAAAGTGAAATAAATTGCAGAAATTGCAGCATTTTAGCCATCAGTATTCCTCTGTCCTGAGTTGAGCGCCCCGTGTATTGTGAGCTCGTCCCTGACCTTGACCTGGCGACCTTTCCCCAGAATTTTCTGCTCCTGGAGGAACTTGACCACTCATCCAATGTGGAGAAATCTAACCTGAGACCCAAACCGGAGGACGCCTTTGTTCAACTGGACGGTGTGACTGCCAAGTGGGAGGGGGAGGGGGTAGGTGCATTGTGTGTGTGTGTGTGTGTGTGT